AATTCAAAAAACAACTACAATTGGTGAATGAAAAATACGAAAAAATTGAATTAGAATTAACTAAACTGGATACTTACAAAAAACAAATACAATTAGACTTGACGCTAAGAATAATGCTATTAATAATAATAAGTTAATAATTTACGATTTTACAAATATTATGATAGATAAGAATCATAAAGAACTATTAGACTTTCAAGCATTTGTTAGTAAAAAGCCAAACAATGAAGAAGAAAACATAAAATCTATTCATAATATACCCAATCCTAGAATTAACATTAAATGTATAACTTTAAAAATAGAACAAATACGAAATAATATATTGATGTAGTTTAATCAGTTAAAACAAAGTAAAATATTAGGAGAATGGAAGAATGTAAATCTAACTGCAGACTTAGTTAAGGATTCACGGCTAAGAAGAAAAATGCTTTTGCCTTATTACATCGATCTAAAAACAACGTGGTTACCAAATTAAATTAAGAGATGATTATTTCATAATAAATCAGCATAAAATTACTTATAGTTTAACTCAGAATCAACTAGTTTACGCCGAAGATTTTTTAGAGTATACTCCTCCGGAAGTTCTGTCAAATCGAACAACCTAGTCAATAAAAAAAAAGAAAGAAAGAAAGAAAGAACAAATATTGGAGAGATTAAATTTAATAAAAAAAAACTGTTAACTACATACTGGTTTTACTACATCTTACTAATTCAACTATAAAATCGTTATTTAAAAAGCTTATAATAATTTTGATATACACTACTCCAAAACAACTAGAAATTATAAATAAAATATTCGATCAATGTGAAAATTGCAAAACATATTTCTCCAAACATTATAATGATAGGCGATATGAATGCCTGAATAGCTCAACAGATGGATACGTTATATTATGGTCTCAATTCATTAAGATTCAATAACAGAGAATCCAAAGATAAAAAAATATAATAAACTTGGAATGCAACTGCTCAAATATACACATGAACTACAGTTACATATTATGAATGGAAGTGTAAGATTTGACTGTCCTACTGAATTTACATATATAAATCATAATGGATGTTCGGTAATAGAATTAACTATTTGCTCAGAACTCATGTCGGATCTATGTGTATTTATTCAAATTTTGAATTGTGATATGTATGATATACAACTAAAACGTTTTATGTAATTTTTCTTTCTCTGTAAAATTATTTGTTTGTAAAAAAAACATAAGATGTAAAACAAACTGCTACGGCTTTTTCATGTTTTCATGTATAAAATAACCCCCTGTAACAAGGATTTATACCTTAGTACAATAAAAACTTTGATTGATTGATATTAAATAAAAAAAATAATTAATACAAAAACTTTGCCTTATTGTTAAAATAAAATTAATTTAATTCAAATTTATAAAAACATTTAAAAATTCATAGATTAAATTTTATACACAAAAAACTTTTTAAAAACTAGAACTACAATTATTTAGACATCGAACTTCTTTTGGTGTCTAAGATTGAATAATAATAAAAAGTTTGTTATTACCACAAATATTTTAAAAAGCATTCTTCTCTATACGATATTTATTAAATAAGTAACAAGTATAATTTAAATAATTATTATATCGAACTATTTTCCTATTTTACTTTGCCTTATTGTTATATTATTATTTTAAGTTGTGTTTTAATATTAGAACAAATTGTAAAAATTATTACTGCAAATTAATTTTATAATAAGTAGAAAGAATATATTAAACTAATAATAATAAGACATAAACTTTGTCTTATTATTATTAGTTTTATTATACATAACATAAATAAAAAAAATAAGAAAAAACTTTGTCTTATTGTTAAAATAAAATTAATTTTATGATCTGAAATAATTCCATTCGACAAATTTTTATTTGCAATTTAAAAAATTTTAATGTAAATTTAATTTTGTGATCAGTTGGCTCAATCTAGGGTTTCTCAAACAGGATTCCGGGATCCCGGGATCCCGGTTGTTTTTTTAACCCGGGAAATATCCCGGGAAATTTTTCTTATCCCGGGAAATCCCGCAAATTTCTTAAAAATTCATTTTTTTTTCTTATTTTGCGTTAAGGTTGAGGAATTTTGCAAATAGAAAGCATAATTAACTCATTCACTGTCAGAATACATTTGTATTTATTAATTTTAAACCTACCTATTAGTTTTTTTAATTTTTTGCTCGTTATAGCATGTCACAAATGGTCAATAATCAATATATATCATATTTGTGGCAGGACTATAAAAATTCTTTACTTGTCGGAACCTGTAATATCTGGAATAATTGTGCTTACGCTGTCTTGAGTTTTAACCATGCCCGGTAGCTTCAATAAATGCCTGACGCCAGATTGTGCAAATTGGGCAAGGATACAAACGAGTACAAAGTCTGCAAGTATGAAGTTTTTCTTCATAAACCTGATTATTAAAGCCAAATGAATTGCCGAATTATCGAGCTCTAAGCTTGATGCCGCTATTAAAGCAGCCAAGGTAGACAAATCAAGAATACTAGAGAGCGAAAGAAGTACTACAATCTCGAAAACGAACTCGAAATCTTCCAGGCTACAGGTGAAAAAACACATAATATCTGTCTTCTCTTAAATGCATTAAACACTATTCCAATCACATCAATTGAATCGGAAAGGGCATTCTCGGTGGCAAGACTTTTCATTACTAAAATAAGAATTAGAGTGAGTTATCGGAGTATTGACCATCTTTGCTTTTTAAAATCTTATAAAAGTTTGCAATATTTTGTATTATATTTTATTTAAAAAACGAAAATTACCTTCTAAATTAGAAGTTCATTTTTTTAATTTTTAACTCAATTCAAAACATTTTTTTTGTTGTTGTTGTATGCAGTTTCCAGCAAACTTTAATTAATTTTTTTCTATTTGTGAAAATTTCTACGTTATTTAAAGGTAATTTTTATTATAGGCCTATAGACCTTACACAGCATTATTAATATGATTTTGGAGGTTACAGAACTTTAAAATTACTTTAAAAAATGGAAAATAATTATATCATTTGATTTCAAGATATTTTGTATACCTTAAAAATAATTAATTTTATCCCGGGATTTCCCGGGATCCCGGGAAACAGTTCACTTTTATCCCGGGATCCCGGGACAAGCAAAAGACCGGGAAATGAGAAACCCTAGCTCAAACCACTACTACTGAGGGAAGACGTAATGCGGAAGGTGCCTGACAGATGTATAGTGGTGCCTCGTATAACGTACTTAATCCGTTCCAGGTGCATGTCCGTTAAGTGAAAAGTCCGTTATACGAAACACATTTTCCCATAGAAATACATGTTAAAACATATAATTCGTTCCTCGGCATAAAATAACCGTATTGTACTATAAAAAATGAAAATGGAGCAGTCACCAATTATGCCAGGTAGTCAGATGTTGTGAGGAGGAGGTGGAGGAACACTTTCTTTACACATTCATACAGATACAGACTTTTTACACATTGCAGAAGGTCTGTTTTTATTGTTTTTAAATTGGAGTCAGATTCAGGAGAGGCTATCGGAGCTTGCAGGGTCATCTCTTGTTTCATCCTTTGTTTTTTGGCAGCTGGCTTCTTGAAAAATATGTCCAAGGTGGTCTGTTTCTTTCTCTTCTTCAACACCTGTCGAAAATGACGGGCAAGGGGGGTCATTGTAGAAATCATTGATCTTGTTGGCCTCAGCTCTGTTCGGATAATGAGTGTTGGTAAACTCCCGAACTTCTCCCCCTTTGACAAGGAACTTTTTGTCAAATTTCACTCCTTCTGATAATGTCTTGCTTTGTTTCAATTCAAATCACCTTTCTGTTTATTTAGAAGCCATGATTTTCACAACACTCGAATAAATGTAAATACCCTGCACTGAGGTAATGTACGTAATAAACAAGGGAGCGAGCCGAATCTCAACGGGAACTCTGTACTTCCGATATACTAATAATATACAGTAGACCCCCCTATAACGCTTAGATACGTTCCACGCTAACCGAAAATTACGTTGTAGGAGTGAGCCAATCGCAGCCCGATAGGTGGGAACTTTACGGACTAAGGCTGTTCGAAAGGTTTTCTTCTATAAAATTAACCGATTCTAGACTAATTCCACTCAACATTTCCAAAACNAAATAGCAGATTGTCATTGGCAACGGCAAAAGAGTGGAAACATCATTCGCACTTGTTCGCAGAAAGACCGTTGTTCGCCTCACGTAACTGCCGAACGGAAAGTCCGTTGTATGAAGCCAGTCCGTTGCTCGAGTCACGTAACGGCCAAACAGAAAGTCCGTTGTTCACAGCGTCCGTTATTCGAGGCGTATGTTATACGAGGCACCACTGTACATAAGATACAACCTATCTATGTAACAGACTGAAGAGGGCGAAAGCCAAAATGCGTATCTACATGGATTAAAAGTTGATGATGAAACTATTTGCCAACTGTCAATAAATTCAACAAGTCGTGACATTGAACGAAACAAAACAACAACAAGAAGACACGGTTTCGACAAATAAATAAAACAATAAAGTTAACGTTAATTACGATGTTTCAATTCTATAGCAAATTTATAGTACGTTTTCAGGCTGCACGAGATTTACTTTTCTATTAAAATCGGGAAATATAATATCGAATCATTATAAATTAATACGTATATAACGCACAAAACCTTACTATGTGCATCCATTAATGTATAGTGATAATTATTAATTTTATAGCAGGGGATAGAATATAACGGAAGAATTTCCAGGAGTTTATAAACTGATCTAGTTACCTTTCTAATTCCAATTCTATTCTGTTTAGTCGAATAGTTGACTATAAAGTAATCTGTAATGAATATAATATTTCTACAGTTATAGAAAATAATAGAATTTAGCGCACCATAGCGATAAAAATACATGGGCATGTCATATTCGAAAATAAAAATTTAAATCACATAAAGAATATTTGTTGACAAATTGAGAATTTATTTAAATTACAGCATTAAATGATTTTAACATTATTTTACTCACCGTTCTGGTAATGACTATCACGGTTTTATGGCATAATGTATCTGTAATTCTGTAGGAATGTTATGAATTATTCAGAGGAGCTCAATGTAATCAATGTGACCAATATACAAACTGGTTTATTATTTATTTTTAATATCGTCTCCGAATAATAGAAAAATATTTCGTAATTATAAGTTTACGTATTAAATAATAATTAGACACCTTGAATTTTTAATTTAAAAAATAAAATATTTTCCTGGTAGAAAAGTTCTGAGGCTACTTATTCTTAATTACGTTAAAATCATGTCTTGATAGATGTGTAAAGAAAATAAATAATAATAATAATATTAATGAACCAAACCATTTTTATTAAAATTAATATTAAAATTTTTTAGTAATTAATTATTAAAATAATTTTAAAAACAGTTTTAATTGGGTGAAGACCGATTTCCAATTGATTTTGCAATGGTGAGAGCAGAAAAGTTACAGTGATTCAATGGTTATAAGTCATCTGGATTGTTTAAATTTTACTAAAAAGTATATTCTTTATTTCAGCTGTTAAATAAATCTTATCTTGTACTTCTGATATGAGAAGTTTTATTAGAAGTACAAGTAAAAACTTATTGTTGGTATGTCTTTATATGTTTTAAATGTTAAAAGATTTATTTGTAAAGTAATTTAATATTTAAATAGTTGTTATGTCACATTATATTAACAACCATAAAGTCTCCACTAATATGATAAGAAAACCTTGTCTTTATATGGTACTAGCCGTACCGGGCTACGTGTTGCTGTGGCTCAAAATGTATCTATTATAAATTCTAGTATTTTTGAAACCGTGCCAGTAATTTTTAATCCAAACACAAAATATTTATCGTATTTATACAGACACTTGGCAAATAACAGAATTAAATTTTGTTCAGTTGATACGTGTTTCTTTCGGTTGTACACGTTTCGGGCATTTCTTGCCCCTCTTCAGCCAACTAAAATAAAAGTTCACAAGTTACAACAGTATAAATAAACAAACGTATAAGGTCATGTTATTTTACATACCTTTTTGATGAGTTTAAACAATTTTAAAATTTCTTCTATACACTTGTAATTACGTTTAAATTGATTTAACATTTAAAATTTACATGCTAGTCTTTCGAAGTAATCCTTCTTTACACACGTATTTCGCTGACCTTTCCTCCTTCCTTTTCCCCCAGTTAAGCATGCACAATGTCTACTACACAGTCACATGAGTCTGTTATAAATGTATAACACTCCCCGCGAGTGGGAATTTCGAGAAATCCTTTCTTAGTGAACATTCTCTTGAAGTACCCTATTAAAACACAATCAAAAACGCAAAAAGCCGCATCTAAAATAGTATAAATAGAAGCAGAGTTCTTTANGGTGCAGAAATTTTTTGCTTTAGATAAACTGAAGGAAAAAGTGGAAACACTTAAATGAATTGTAATGTAAAAATAAAAACCTTTTCTAAATAATTTCACTGTTATATTATTTCAAACTGTCATGTACCAGAATATTAAGACAAATATCCACCAAGAAAATAATTAATTCTATTATTGATGATAAAACTATTACTCGACCAAATTATTTGTAATCTTCTCATATTTTATAAATTAGACCAGGAGTATGTCGTGTTTTAGATAAAGTGAATGAAAAAACTGGAAAAGCTTAAATAAAATAAACTAATTTAATCTATTAATGTAAAAATAAAAAAAAAATTCAATAATAATTTTGTTTTGGTGTTATATTATTTCATAGAATTGTGTTTTAATTTTCTCGGATATTAAAACATTTAATAATTAATACAAAAAGAAGGGGGACGCTTGGATAGTCAAGTCCGTCTGTGGCTTTTTTTCCTTTGCTTCCCCAAACGCTTTTTTTCTTGTTAATTACCATAAAATATTTCCATGTTCGCTATAATGATTAATCATAAACTGATTTTACTACTATTGCTAATGTCTGGCATAGAATCTAACCCTGGACCTCGACAGAAAACACCTTCAAAAAGAGGAAGTCCACCTACTAACCGCTCATATTAACTATCTAACTATGCAAAATCATCTGGATCCGAAACTAATCTAATAACCGACTATACAGCAAGAAGAAGAACAGTTTGTCCAAATACATCAGGTGAGAATTCTAAATCTAATAGTTTAATAGAGTTAACTAATCCAGAGTCATCAGACATCTCAACTGCAGAGTTATGGCTAAAGATAGCTGAACTTATTACTGCTAGCAACCAAAAGACAGATAACCAATTTACGCTTATTCGTGATGAAATTAAAAATATTTACACCGAAATTATAGAATTCAAAAAACAACTACAATTGGTGAATGAAAAATACGAAAAAATTGAATTAGAATTAACTAAACTGGATACTTACAAAAAACAAATACAATTAGACTTGACGCTAAGAATAATGCTATTAATAATAATAAGTTAATAATTTACGATTTTACAAATATTATGATAGATAAGAATCATAAAGAACTATTAGACTTTCAAGCATTTGTTAGTAAAAAGCCAAACAATGAAGAAGAAAACATAAAATCTATTCATAATATACCCAATCCTAGAATTAACATTAAATGTATAACTTTAAAAATAGAACAAATACGAAATAATATATTGATGTAGTTTAATCAGTTAAAACAAAGTAAAATATTAGGAGAATGGAAGAATGTAAATCTAACTGCAGACTTAGTTAAGGATTCACGGCTAAGAAGAAAAATGCTTTTGCCTTATTACATCGATCTAAAAACAACGTGGTTACCAAATTAAATTAAGAGATGATTATTTCATAATAAATCAGCATAAAATTACTTATAGTTTAACTCAGAATCAACTAGTTTACGCCGAAGATTTTTTAGAGTATACTCCTCCGGAAGTTCTGTCAAATCGAACAACCTAGTCAATAAAAAAAAAGAAAGAAAGAAAGAAAGAACAAATATTGGAGAGATTAAATTTAATAAAAAAAAACTGTTAACTACATACTGGTTTTACTACATCTTACTAATTCAACTATAAAATCGTTATTTAAAAAGCTTATAATAATTTTGATATACACTACTCCAAAACAACTAGAAATTATAAATAAAATATTCGATCAATGTGAAAATTGCAAAACATATTTCTCCAAACATTATAATGATAGGCGATATGAATGCCTGAATAGCTCAACAGATGGATACGTTATATTATGGTCTCAATTCATTAAGATTCAATAACAGAGAATCCAAAGATAAAAAAATATAATAAACTTGGAATGCAACTGCTCAAATATACACATGAACTACAGTTACATATTATGAATGGAAGTGTAAGATTTGACTGTCCTACTGAATTTACATATATAAATCATAATGGATGTTCGGTAATAGAATTAACTATTTGCTCAGAACTCATGTCGGATCTATGTGTATTTATTCAAATTTTGAATTGTGATATGTATGATATACAACTAAAACGTTTTATGTAATTTTTCTTTCTCTGTAAAATTATTTGTTTGTAAAAAAAACATAAGATGTAAAACAAACTGCTACGGCTTTTTCATGTTTTCATGTATAAAATAACCCCCTGTAACAAGGATTTATACCTTAGTACAATAAAAACTTTGATTGATTGATATTAAATAAAAAAAATAATTAATACAAAAACTTTGCCTTATTGTTAAAATAAAATTAATTTAATTCAAATTTATAAAAACATTTAAAAATTCATAGATTAAATTTTATACACAAAAAACTTTTTAAAAACTAGAACTACAATTATTTAGACATCGAACTTCTTTTGGTGTCTAAGATTGAATAATAATAAAAAGTTTGTTATTACCACAAATATTTTAAAAAGCATTCTTCTCTATACGATATTTATTAAATAAGTAACAAGTATAATTTAAATAATTATTATATCGAACTATTTTCCTATTTTACTTTGCCTTATTGTTATATTATTATTTTAAGTTGTGTTTTAATATTAGAACAAATTGTAAAAATTATTACTGCAAATTAATTTTATAATAAGTAGAAAGAATATATTAAACTAATAATAATAAGACATAAACTTTGTCTTATTATTATTAGTTTTATTATACATAACATAAATAAAAAAAATAAGAAAAAACTTTGTCTTATTGTTAAAATAAAATTAATTTTATGATCTGAAATAATTCCATTCGACAAATTTTTATTTGCAATTTAAAAAATTTTAATGTAAATTTAATTTTGTGATCAGTTGGCTCAATCTAGGGTTTCTCAAACAGGATTCCGGGATCCCGGGATCCCGGTTGTTTTTTTAACCCGGGAAATATCCCGGGAAATTTTTCTTATCCCGGGAAATCCCGCAAATTTCTTAAAAATTCATTTTTTTTTCTTATTTTGCGTTAAGGTTGAGGAATTTTGCAAATAGAAAGCATAATTAACTCATTCACTGTCAGAATACATTTGTATTTATTAATTTTAAACCTACCTATTAGTTTTTTTAATTTTTTGCTCGTTATAGCATGTCACAAATGGTCAATAATCAATATATATCATATTTGTGGCAGGACTATAAAAATTCTTTACTTGTCGGAACCTGTAATATCTGGAATAATTGTGCTTACGCTGTCTTGAGTTTTAACCATGCCCGGTAGCTTCAATAAATGCCTGACGCCAGATTGTGCAAATTGGGCAAGGATACA